TAGGCTTCATTGTGCGCTCGCCCCGTCTGGTCGGGGTCGGCGGATTCTTGCTGCCATTGGTACTGTGCTTATCAGTTTCCAGTATCAGTATCACCGTCAACTAGTGCCGTTCATGCGACCGACTACTACGATGACTTGCGCCAAGCGTTGGTCATGATTTCAAAGTGTCAGGATCACAGAATGTTGGGTTGTTTTCTTCAAAAAAATCATCCTCGCACCTGTCGTGTCCTACCAGTAAGTAAGTACTATTACTTGCACATGCCCTTGTTGAAAGCATTGCTTTATTTGGTCTGTGATGCTAGGTCATCGCCCCTTCCAACTTGCCTAGCTTGCTTACAGACACGTGTGTAGATCAAAGCTTTTTTTTTTTTTTTGCTAGTATCTGCAGAATCTAGCAAGCAGAGGGGGACACGAAGGGGAGAAGACTACTGGGAACACTGGCTTGCCGAGGGATCCCTATCCCTTTGATGAGCGTTGCTGTACATTGTCATGGCCCTACTTGTTCTTGTGCAGCTCCTTGTTTTGCTTGACTGAGTTGCCTAATGCTGCTTTTGTGTACACCAAGGAATGCATATCAGGTGGACCTAGAGTTCTGCTCTTAGTTTGTCAGCGCGGAAGCGAGTCGTGCTAGCAGCTTGCTTGTGCGGCAACAAGTTTAAAGCTGTTTCCAACAGAAGCAGCCAGCTGAGGTTTGAATTGCCTCCAGGCTTCTACAGCGTTGTCCTGATGGCGCGGTTCTTTGCCAGTGTTCCCGCTATTTGTTTGGCATGAGTTGCCAGGTCCGAGTGAATACATCGATGGGCTTCCTGCCGGTTGGGGCGACCACGCCGGACTGCACCTGGCAAGGTTGCATGATAAATGTTGCTAATGCTAGTTGGTGTTTGCATGCATTGTATTGCATCTCTTTGCTAAGTTGTGAACGAGAAAATTCAAGAAAATTGAAACAAAACATCTGCTGGAGCCAAGGCTAATGCAAACCTGAGCACGCAATCCCCACGCCATCTTGTCCCTTTCCATCGTTCCACCCAGAGACTTAGCAATGCTGACCTACAAGGGGAGGCCGTGCCAAAATAATCAATTTGGTTCACAAACCTCCGTGCTCGATTACACGTCAGCACAACACGTCCGCAGCGCATCAACTTGTTGAAGACGGAGCCACTCTGGCAGCCGATCATCCGAGGCTCAGAACAAACCCGCGCGTGATAAGAGTCTGCGAGTTCAGGAGATCTTTGACATGAACGAATCGATGATCGGCACAGCTGACGCAGTAAGGCAGGCCACTTCTTACCTGCTTGAGTTGATGGTTGCCATTTGTATGCTTTGACCCGTAGATACCCGTTGAGCTTTGCTCGTGCGCTTTGCGTCGTCGTGGCGCTGTCCGGAACTTGAAGTGCTGCCCACCTGCTTAGACACTACATTCACGCGAGATTATCTTGCAGCAAGGTCCCACATCCTCCCGACTCTCACGTGAGTGAGTCCATTAGTTGCTGCGGGCAGTCTGTGGCTACAGGGAAGTCATCAACATTTCTTAGCGAGCATCTTTCAGCGCATATTCAAACTTTCTCTAGGGGGGATGTCCACTCTGTTGCAGGCTGGGTTTCGAAGGTCGCATGATTTCAACATCAACATCCTTTTCTTTTTTGAGGAGCCACAAATTTGACTTAATCAGCTCCTCTTTGGCACCATGATGCGCCAGGCACTACTGCTACTGCAGAATGTTGTAAAGGTAGCAGAAGAAGCCTCTACCGTATAGGTGGTATGCAGATTATGGCGGCAATCTCTAGACAAAGCCATGTTCATATGGTGCAAAGATCTTAAACACAAACTGCAACCCAATTCATGAATTCTTGACGGCCAAGCCGTTCAAGGATTGCTTCTGCAGTGCCGTGTAGCTCGCGTCTAGTATGCCCTAAAGGGGCTCAGACGCAGATGAACAGAGTCGAAAACTGCTTCAAAGGTTGTTTGCACCGGGTCCCATGTTGCAGCAAGTTCTTCTGCTGATATGACATCAATGCATCGTTCACAGTTGTTTCAGCTAGCTAGCCTGTTGACACAGCCAGCCATGTGAACAGTCAAAAGGAAAACAAGAATACTGTTGTAGAGCTGTACACCTGCCACGCATCTCGGTGCTTTGATGTTCTAGCTTCTGGATGCCGTTAGCCACGTCTTGACCGGCATGAGCCCATGCCTCGGCTTCTCGGTGTCCATGATTGAGATCCTTTAGAAAGAGTCTGCAGGTCGGCCAGGAAGCCGGGAGCCGCCACGCAGGTGAACGCATGGCTATTTCAGTCAAGTGTTGCACGCAGTCAAGTGCGAATGGCGCAAGATTTATGGTCATCCCGTATGGTCAGTCGGTGCCATTGAAGGCTGGCCTTGACCAAGCTACGAGACGACCATTCGTCACCAAGGGGGTCCACAAACAAAGAGGGGTGCATCAAGCGTGATGCTTGCGCCATGCGTGTGTTTTTTGCAAAGTCACCGCATAAAGGTCTGCAGTGGGGAGATTGCATCGCTTGGCGTTGGCATACCGCTCTCAGGCTCTTATCCCCTTGTACAGCGAGAGCATGGTTTCCCAAAAGCAACATAACGAAAACCTCATGTCCCTGGAGATCAGAACCGAAGTTTGGAATGGCACCGAGCCCGCACATTGACAACTTTCACAAACTCCTTTCTCCATCTCTCTGTAATTGCGCCCGGGCAATCATGCACAGGTCCAGGCAAACCAAGTCCGAATGAATCTGATTGTGCAAGAAACCAAAACAGGTAGGTGCAGCAGCCCGGGACGTGGTCTCTTGCCAGCGTAGTTAGGCTCGCCGGGAGCCCAAAGCACAACGAATCGTCGACCTCATGCATTACTCTCAAAATTCGGGAGCTCTTTGGCAAAAAACTGCGCTGCACACTGCATTTGGGATGCAAGCGGCCACACTGCATTTGCAATCTTCTTGGCCTTTCCAGCCCGCAAAGCATCGATGTGACGCCAGTGGGAAGAAGCATGTAAAAGCACCTCGGTCATGCATACTCGTTGTTGCAGAAACATCAGCTGCTCAAACGGACTCCCTCTCCATCGGCTCGTTGTGAAACATAAATTCTCTTGCGCAGTATTCTGATCAACCTTTTTATCTTTGTACAGCGCCATGTTCCTACAGTGTACTGGTCTCAGCGCTGCCGCTCAAGCAGCTTGCCATTGGCTTCCTGGCTGTTCCACAAATGGGTTGGGCGCTGGAGCTAACTAACCATCCCAGAGGCACCAGACCCTCCTTTCCAATTCCCCATATTATCTCCCAGTAAAACTGTATTCATGGCGGGGGTCGATCAAGGACTGGTTCGTCACCTGGGATATCGGCAAGATACATTGGGCTTTTGGCATTGAAACAAGACGGCGCGCGACAGCACGCACACCAGTCGCTCCCCCTCGGCCAAAATTCAATGGATGCTGAGGAAGTGACAAGTTCGGTCCTTGCACAGACGTGCGCACTACAAGCGGAGAACTTTGGCTCAGCGCTCCGAGACACAATTAGCAGTGGGAGCCAGCCCGGGTCAAAGGAAAGCCACGCGCAACAAGCCAACTGGGGCGAAGCAGGCTTGAGGTGCACATAACCAAAGATGCCAACTTGAACGGATACTTGGCCTGTTTTCGAAGTGATCTTTTGCTTGTAAGAGTGACCTCCCGTTTTTTCAAGTGTACTCCTCAGGATTCCAGGCTTTCAGATTCCTTACTACTTGTGAGGGATGTCTTGTTACGGGAGCAAGCGATTACGGGCATTCGGCCCAAGTCCCAAAAGCCGGGCATGGCAGGGATTGAATCGCAGACGCGGAGGTCGCCATTTCATTGGGGGGGAAGATCAGCATCGTCACCCAATCAAGCAACAGGTGACACAGGCTCCCCCCACACATTCAACACTTGGCCGCCTTTCGCATCAATCACCTGGTCCCTGTCCAACCCCTTTCCCTGCTCGAACCTGTGGCAAGCTGAGCAAAACTTTCTCCGGCGTGTCGCCCCCATAACAATAATTGCAAGTAAAGCTAATCCTATTTGTTTTACGTCTCAGCTTGTTTTTCTTTTTTCTGCGGAGGTTGGGGATGGTCTAGCACGCTCCTTGTGACATTGCGCTGGCTAACTTGAAACCCTGCCACTATTCCCTGTTCTCATCATGTTGCCCCTGTGCAGTCACAGGATAATCTAGTGAATCTAGTGGCGCCTTTTGCTTCTCATCAATGCTGTGGACAGGACAAACCACCTGCTGCTGTTCCCTGGCTAGCCCCCTTTTCAATATCTTGTTCTCAGCCTCTTGGGTCACCTAGGTGCAACTGACTCTTTTTTAGTCCACCGCCGAGTTGTTGCGTGTTGCGTGTGCGTACCCTCCAGAGCTTCCAGCACAGCAGCTTGCGTTTCTGGGCGCTCAGCTAGACGTTCGGAAAATGAGCAGTTGAGATTGCGTGCCTTCGTTTTACTACAGACATTATAGACCTTTCTAAGGCCTGGTGCCGCTTTCTGACTTAGGCTTAGGGCGTCGTGCCTGCAGGATACGCTTGCGCTCCAGACAGTCGAAAAGGTATGGGCCACGCACCAGGCTTGTTATTTCATGCTAGTGGATGCTTGTCAAGTGGACACACGTTTTCAGCATGTTTGATACGCGCGAGGAGCAGGACGCCACTACCTCGGTCACAGAGCCAGCGCCTCTTGCCAGCAAAAGACCGCGTGTTGCGCGTGTCAACAAATGCAGAGCCGACTGCCTGGGCAAAGCTTTCACAGGCGAGCGCCGTGCCAGTCGCCATCGCTCTGCCTCCCACCTTGCGAATCCACGGAAGGAGGGACAGCGTGGCGTGTCGCAAGCCGTTGATGGGATTGAGCTTGAGTGCACTTAGCAAGCTCATGTGGAGAGTCAGGCCACAAGAAGGGAGGCTGGTCGAGGTGCACCACTGTGATTGCCGATGTTTGCATACGTGTGCGGAGCCAAAGAGGTAGCACCGGCTCAGCTCAACCGAAAGCGTTGTTTCTGATGGGGCTGCTGGCGGCTTGGATCTGATGGGTATGACATAGGTTGACAAGGGAGCAACTCAGGCCTGGGGCTGGAAAGTCGACAGCCTGATCCCAAAGACATGGAACAGAATGCTTCAAAGCAAGCAATCACCCCAGTAAATGGTAAATGCCATCAAGATCAGATGAAGGTCAAACGCGACAGGATGAGCAGCGAGATCTTTGTGACTGCCCCGGAGCTGCACTGGATATGCGACAAGCTGCATACTCTGCGCGTGGAAGGTCAACGTGGAACCTGACCAGTTGAAGCGCTACCACAAGAACTTTTCGAGTGACATGGGTGAGGACTTCAAAGCAATCTGTGAGATTGTAAGTATGCAGTTGTTATCGAGGTTGATGCACGTGTCCAGGATACTGACACCGAGGTCCACAGGTGGAGTGCCGCTTCCTCAGCTGAACCGCGAATCAGATCAATCCAACAAAATGCAACAGGCTTAAAGGCAGAGCGTCATCACGGGGCAGGCCATTAGGCGTCGCCTGAATGAAAGGTTCGCAGAGCCGTCGACGCCTTTGAGGATGCTGTAAACGATTCGAGGACAAACGATGATGTGGGTCAAGCCTCTCAGCGGTCAAGCCCAGTGGCAGCAGTACGGCCAGGAGACGGAATGTTCTCTTCGATTCTTCTGGCTCCAATTCGCCTGAACCCTGGCACCATCACAAATGTCGGGCGAGTTGGTTCTTCCATGCAGGGTGTTGTTCATGTTGACTAGTTACTGGTTGATCTTGCTCTTTGGGTGGCGTTCTGCCCTGTTTGTGGCCTGTGCCATCACGGCTATCGCAATCAAAGTTGCTCCTCCGAACCGAAGCTATACGGTGGCAAGTCCAGCCCAGCTTCGATTGTCATCCTCAATCTAAGCCCACCCGAGAAACTTGCAGATTCAGTGCAGGTTCGAAGAACCAGATCCAACCCAGTCCCCAACCCTTTCCCCGTCCTGAATGTATGTTTCCCTGCCCAGTTTGCAATGAGGATTGCAATGCTTGTCAAGTTTCTGTTCGACAGGGCCGGGAGATACTTCACCAGATTCTCGTGTCTCGAGCAGGCAGTGGCTGGCTCGAAGGTTAGAAACCGCACGTGATGCAGGTACGCTGTTACACTATCGCTGCAAGAACGAAGCCATCTTGCCTGCAACGTGTAGGCTACCAGACTCAGCTGCTTTGGGTCGATGTTCCAGTCGAGGCCAGCATTCTTGGGGAGCCATTCTTTGGGTAGTTGCGATAGTGTTTGCAGATCGCCTTGCTGCGCAACCGGGATCGTGCAAAGTCACGGGGGCAGCCGCGGCCTCATTGCAAGTTGTCCGCTTGTACTAGAGTGTTTTGCACAACGAACGCTACCAGGTGGTGTCCAGAAAACATCATCATGGACAAGGCCAAGGTAATGCAAAGTAGCTTTGAGGACTGCGTGCGTGTGTGCAGCGTCTCAATATGTGATGTCCACAAGTTGGTAGTAAGCGCGGCTATACAAGCAGGTCCTTAAATCACAGCTCCAACAGTGTATAGCTGTAGAAGCTGGAATTTTGCAAGCAAGGAGAGAACTGGAAAGCATGCACAGGCGCCTCAAAGAGCCGCTCACGAACCTTGCAAACACAAACACATGCCGGCAATGGCTTCCTCATGGTGTTGATATCATCAGGTTGATGACCATGGTTTCAAGTCAAGTCAAGGCAATGCCCACACTTTGTCTTTTGTGCGTATTTTGAAATGCAGGAGCTCCGGAACACTGTTGATGTGGCTGAGCGACTTCAAAACTGGGTGCCCTGCTTGCAGGTCTTCGTATGATGTGGCGGCTTGCCCATAGATGCTAAGGATCCAAGCGGAGACGAACTGCACAGGGCACAGGAGGATTGCAACATGTTTCCAGGGCTCCTTGAGCCCGAAAATAATTGGAGCCATTGCAGGACCTCTACCTGTATCCTGCTCCGAGGCTGCGTCCAGCTGCGTCAAGCAGAACAGATTTGGCTCATCGTCTGTCATTTCAGCATCTTGCAATGTGGCAGGAGTCGAGCGACAGTGCGTCCTGGTGAGCCTAGCTACGGTGAGGTTCGGCACATGGTAGATGGTTGATCTTAAAGTCAAGCCGAAACAGTCCTGGGACATGCAGCAGTAGTTTGAAGTCGTTTAAGCCCAAATCATGCAGCTGCCTGGCCTGCAGAATCACTCCTCAGAACCCCTCGGCCTCATGAAGCACACCCACAGATGGAACCAACAGTTTTGGACACCGTCTACCAATTCGTGATCAGCGTTTTTTACAGTCAGCCTTAACCATGGTTTGAATGACCATGGCTGCCACGTTAAGTTGGAAATGGCTTGAAGACGTGAAAGAAACAGATTTTTTCGCCAAACTGCAACGACCGATTCAGTCATCCTTCATGGCTGTTACCAGCTGTTGCCATTGTTGGTATTTGGTCCCGCCGGTCCTGCGCTTAACCTGTCCCTTCTGATGTATGTGTGTGGTTTCTGAGGCACAAGCAGGCCCGCCTTGTTGTGTACTTGGAAGTAAAGGTATACCCCCCGTCGAGGCCCCAACTCAAAGATTCCAGATTCCGAACTTTGCCAGGAAATTGCGTGGCAGTTTTGTGAAAGAAAGAAGCGCAAAAGCCATTGCGAAAGCTGGGGCCGGCTGAACAACAGTATAGCCGGCACATGCTGCGAGACATTCACACGTCATGAGCGCATGATGTTACACAGAATGTCCAGCAGTTTAACAACGACTCCTGGGGAATGATGGAAGCTGGGTTTCATGAGGCAAGGTGATTTGGAAACAGGTGTATGCTGGGAGTAGCAGGCTGCTTGTCGAAGCCAGAGTAATGGAGCAGCCCAGCACGCATAGCACGCAAAGAAGCCCAGTGACCATGCCTGCTAAGCTCGGACCTTTCACGTTGCATCCTAGACGTATCAAGCCAGCAATTCTTCCCACTTGAAGCCGTTATCAGATATATTCAGAAATGTAAAGCCAGATCCAGAAACAGGCTCAGCGAAAGCTTCGTGCAAGAAGACGCGAAGGGAATCCAATGCGTAAGTTGGCAATTTTCTATGCAAGGATCCCGAGCAGGCTGTCCTTCTGAAGCGGGCTCAGGCTCTCTTGAAGTTTTGGAGCCCCCTAAGTCTCCGGCGCACGATAGGTCTGCACGTGCCTGCTGATGGTGTATCTCCAGCAAAAGCTCTTTGTAGGCTGGAAGGTTTTGTTTTCGTATGTTTCAACAAGAAGCATTTCAATCCTGGCTTCGTGCCACAGACCATTTTGCAGGGTCTCCTTTTTGAAATGGCGTGGCTAGGAGAGCCCGCCCCAAACATGGCGCTGCGACAAATGACATCTTTGTCCAGCTGCCATTGAGTGAAGATCACGATCATCCATTGCACAGGGAGGTCAAGTGTTTCGATGACTTTTGTCGTACCCGGAACCTTCTGCTTGCTGAAGCTGGACGTTGCGCTCCAAGCTCTGGTAAGCTTGATGCGTCTGAACCGATGCATGTCACAGCCATGCTGATGGACTGCTGAAACTCCGCAGGCACCACCTGGCGCACGCCCTCCTTCTGCAACTCCGAGTTCAAGGAGGCAAGCAAGTCTTGCACAGTCAAGCACAGTCACCCTCATAAGCTCCCCAGCTCCCGTTTACCCTATCCTGTTTGTGCTTTTGGTTGTTCTATGATGCAGGACGATTCGGATTGGGTCATCCTGCCTGTTTCTTGTTCTTGAAATGATTGGGTGCTGTTTGGTTGCCAGTCCGTGGAAAAGAAACGATGAAGTGATGAAAGCGAAGAGCGCGAGGCGGAATGCCAGCTGAAAGAGTGAACATGACCTTAGCTTTCAATTATCCAACAGGCTGAAATGGATGGATGAAACTTACAGAGGACACGATGGGCCAAACCTGCTTGTGACATTATCAGGACATTCCTTGCTGCGCATGACATGGAAGCAGCAAGGAGATCGTGAGAAGTTTGTCTTGGAGGAAGTTTTGGCAGGGTTCGGCCCTTGGACACTGGCTTGCTGCGGGAAGGTAAAACGGCTGCTAAGTATGGTTTGTGATTGTGCTAGCAAGACTGGACACAAGAAGACGAGTTCAATCAGCCTCAGCCACAAGGCGCGACATTTTTCTCGAGCGGAACATGTTCCCGTGACCCGATGGCTTGACTACTCACATTGTTAATGAAGTAGTGAGCAGTGAGCGCTTCCAGTGCCGCAGTTACGCTTTGCCGCCCGGCATGGAGCACTGGACGATCTGGGCAAGGCAGCGGTCTTCAGAAACACGCATTCACTTGCATGCTGCATGACGGATCTTTCTAGTTCTGGCAGGAATTCCATGGATCACGAAGCACTTTGCCAGTACATAGAGGCTTTGCTCTTCTGTTTAAAGCTCATGTGTAATGCTGCTCAAATTTTGCCTAATTACTCGTGCAGCACTTTCCCCTGTGCACTTTCATGGCTAGGGTTGGCTGAATGCCAGAAAGCCACACAATGTCACAGCGTGCGCCCCAGACAAGTATTCAGAAGCATTTAAGACACCATTTGTGTTGATGGGGGCAATTCTGGTGACTTCTTGAAGTGACCATCTCAAAGGCTTGGAACTATGACGATAACCGTCAGATGCGGACCATTGACGTCTGGCTCACGGCTCTCACAGCTGGAGCAGCCTTCTGTTTGCCCGGGTGCCTAGCCGTGCAGACGAAATCAGTCGGTTTCAGGTGTGGCACGTGCACGTCTACTTCCAAGGAGCAGGCGCTCTTGCTGCATGGTCTGCATTATTACAAACACACGTCCCGTCTGCTTCAGCCCGTACGTTCAGAGGCTGTCCAGTGCGTAGGAACGTAGAATCTTCGCGCGACCGCGCGCCTCCGGGGCCCTCGGCCTGCGGCCCGACCCGTGTCCCGGCCCGCGTCCCGTGGCCCGTGTCTCGTGGCCCGCGGCGCCTCCCACAGCACGGGACGCGGCGTCCCGCGGCCTGCGGCCCGGCGGTCACGCCTGCAGCTCGCGGTCTACGGATATTATATAGGGTGCCCAGACCCTGAGGTTTCCGCAATTTCCAGAAATCCAGTTTTTTTTTCATAAGGTTTAGGGTTTTAGGGTTTAGGGTGTTCAAGGTTTTGAGGTATTAGGCTTTCGAGGGTTTGGGGTGTTTCAATGGCCTTTAGGGTTTAGGGGGTTTTAGGTTTTCAGAGTGAAGGATGTTTAGGGTTTATTCTTTTGGGAGTTGAGGTGTTGAGGGTGTTTAGGGTTAGGATTCTTTGGGATGTAGGGTTTTTACTCTTTTTTTTGGGTGTTTGGGGCCAAGGGCTTTAGGTTTTCAGGTTTTAGTGCTTTAAGGATCTTCAGGGTACATGGCTTTTAGGGCTTCGGGTGTTTAGGGTTTTGGGGGTTTAGTGTTTTCAGGTTTAGGGTGATATAGGAGTTTATAGGGTTTAGGGGGTTTTGGGTTTCGGGGTGCGGGTTCGTTGGGGTTTAGGGTGTCTAGGATTTTTAGAGTCTACGGCTTTTAGGGTTAGGGGTGTTTAGGATTTTTGGGGCTTAGGGTTTTAAGAAATTAAGGTTTTTAGGGCTAAGGGCTTCTAGTGTTTTTAGGGTCCAGCGTGTTAAGGGGCTGTTTAGGCATTCAGGGTTTAGGGTTATTTTTTAGGTCGTGTGTTTAGGGTCTTTGGGGTTTCGTGTTTTTAGGGTTCAGGGTGTTTAAGGGTTTATAGGGGTTAGGGGGTTTTGGGTTTCAGGGTGATGTTGTTTTTTTGGGGGGGTTTAGGGTTTCTACGGTGTTTAGGGTTTTCGGTTTTTGGGGTTGGAGGCGTTTGGGGTTTTTAGGGTATAGGGTTTTTAGAATTTATGTTCTTTAGGGTTTAGGGCTTCTGGTTTTTT